CACACTGATAGCTTGTTTACATTTCCTGGAGCATCATGAAATCTTATGTTTAACCACGGTGGTTTAACCCATTAGCTGGCAATGCGCCCTTCCCTTGTCGAGCGCCATTTTACTCGTCAGTGGTATAGGGTACTGCCAGTAAATGGGTTAACAAACCTAACTGCTAATGGCTTTTGTTAATTCATCAGCACAGTAATGACCCCTACTTTAGTATTTACCCTGTCCAATGCCAGACGATTTTTAATACTCAGTCAGTGGTAGGGTACTGTCAATAAATGGGTTAACAAGGATAACTATAATTAGCCTGCATGGCAGGCGGTATTTCCCAGGCTTGCCCAATTTTAGGAACCGCCTGCCATGCAGGCTAAACAATAATAGGATGTTTCTGAAGGACTCGTTCAACACCCTGACCCCTGTAGTTTGTCTTTTGCTGTCAAAGGCAGCATTACTGCCCTGTGGGTAACCTAGTATAATATAATAATGTAGGATAAATAAGGCATTTAATTAATAAAATAAATTTGATATTATATGTATGTGCATGTATCACGTTTTAATCAGTTGGCGTATTAGGCACCAGGTCGATCTCATCATTCTGAAATATTGAAAATTAAACATATCTAGAAACTTACCACAAGTTCCATTGTTAAGAAAACCAGGTCTGATCTGACCTTGACAATCTGTGCATGTTGAGTTATCACCTCCACAAATACCACAAAAATCTGTTTTCTTAGCACTGTTCTCGACACCGTCACAACCAAAGTAAATGGGATCGGCAACTGGAAATTGTAAATAAAGTACTTATAATCTCCATATACGCGGTGTTTTGTATGCCTTCGATTATTTAACACTTGTCACACACTTATGCACTTTCAGACCAGAAATCATGGACAGATGCATGATGATGACTTCCTTACTAATTTGCATACTATGGTCATTACCCTTTGCGTCAATTGCTCGTTGCAGAACAAAGTCTGCGGAAATATTTAATGTATAGTGCTCGCCTGGCTCAAGTTTTTCCAACGTAACTTAGCCTATGTAGAGTTAAATTGTCTAATATTGTAAAAAGTAACCTCTGTATACAAATGTTGAAATTGCATAATAGGCAGTAATTGAAATCATGAGGCCAACAAACTAGTACTTCGAAAAATATTTTTTGCAAACAGCGATTGAAGCAAGTTGTACACCGGTGACTTTATTCTCAGATTCTGCGATTAACTACGTCGTGTTGAATAATTTTCTGTTAAAAGCCATGTTTCAATGTGATATGCAAATTACTGGAGAAGTAGAATTATAAAACATGTCCGTGATTTCTGGCCATCCTCAGGGGCGCCAGAAGCAACATGAAGCGGGGGTGAGGGGGGCAGCCATTTAAAAAGGGCACTTACTCTTGAGCCTTAATTTTTTTTTTTTTTGGGGGGGGGGCAATCTTCGTTCACATTTTGCTGTATAACGGACACTTCATTACTTGTAGCTAATACCGATAGACAAATTTCGGCATGGATTGGAACATTTTTATTCGTTGCGTGACACTAAAATGTATTGTAAAGCTGAACATGATAGTTGTCAGTTATTTAGGGAGGCTTTCTTTTCCCTTTTTTCATAGGTGGAAACTGATTGGTAATGTTTCTGAGAGGAATTCAGATTCAAATATGAGCCAAATTGTTTAAAAACAGTTTTCAATTTCAATTCATGTGAAAAACGCACGACGTTCGAAGTGCCGTTCTGGTAAAAAGGCAACCTGCTGCCCCCGTGCTGCCCCCGCACTGTTTAGGCAACGGGGGCAGCTGCCCCCACTGCCCCCGTGGCTCCGGCACCCCTGGCCATCCTACAAATAATATATGTTCGAAATCTACATTTAAGCCCTGGGCAAACTAGGAAACATTTGTGATTCTCGATGTTTCCTCAAATGTTTCCCTGTTTGCCCACCCGTGGAAACATTGTTGTGGGAACAAAATTTGCTTCCCAATAAGCAAAAATGTTTCCTAGCGAATTCAGAGACATTTTATTAATGTTTCCCACTAATGTTTCCTAGTGTTTGCCCACTCTTGGAAACACCGCGAAACATTGGTAGGAAACAATGCTTCCGCAACAATATTTCCTAGTTTGCTCAGGGCTTTAGACACAATGATAACACATTTATAATTGTTCCGCCAGCATACCAAGTTTTGAGTTGTTGATTCTCTGTTGTAGTTCATTGAAAGATTCCAACGTTGCTTCACCAACTCTTGTTTTCCCAGTCACAGCAATATCGAACAAACATTCTCGATTTTCCCCGCAAACATCCTTTGCTTCTTGCTCGAAAGTGGAATTGGAAAAAAGTGACGCGGTTTCATCCAGAAAGACAGGTGTAAAGTCGAGATCAAGAAAACTGTCATAACTTTCTCCAATTCGGTAAGTAAACAAAGTCTTGTTCCTTTCAACAATCCCTGCAGAAAATTTACACACGCAGGTTCAATAGTATATGAAAGGAAATATCAATATAAATACAACTATAGCTTGCCACCCATGCATGGTATTCAACAATTTGGTTTTCCAGACATGGTATATTTAGAAATTGTTTGCATATATGTTAGAAGTACTATCGAATTTGCACGTTTATGCATTGTATTCATGGCGTGAAATGGTGGACATCAATGGGGAGAGAAAATATACCTAATTGCTACTTAGATTGTGAGTCGTTGCCGGTCTGTGATTGAGAAAACTAAGGACCACAACTTTATACAACACGAAATAAGATCCTCACTCCACAATTAGAAAATGCTTAAAGGTAAAGGTAAAACTTGCAACAAAGACAGTATACATGCATGCATGTAAAATCAAAGATGTCTGAGCAATTCAGAAGACAGTTGTTTTTTTTACGCTGTTTAATGCAAATGATCAGATTCAAACGAGTACGGAAATAAAATGTGCTTGACATGTTCTAACCATCTGTGGTATAGTCATATTGCTCGTAATTATTTAAAATCTGTTGTATTAGCTTTTACATGTTGGATTTGAAGACTAAGGTTTATTCCAACTTGTACTTATTTATCATAGATATGATAGGACGCCCATGCCAAAAACTACTGGGAAACAAGTAATATATGTTAGCATCATTAAATAAAGTCTTATTATTAACTATAAACTTTTATGTTAAAAATCACGATGATTTTATGCCTATATAAAATGTTTTTATATATATTCCAAAGGCGTTGCCTTCGTGTATAACCTCGTATAAATCATAGTGCATCGAGGTAGTATTCCATTTTAACCTGCTAACATCAGCTGAACAGAGAGAGTTATGGGCAATGTGAGCCCTTTCGCAGAACCACACCTACAACCGGTCATTTCAAACAGGATACTCCCAAGCTACTGCACATCCTTTCCCAATTACTTCCCAGAACTAAATCGTCACCCTATATCACAGCAAAAAATCATTTTCTTATTAAGAAAAAAATTCTTAGTTTAAGAAATTATTTCTTAGAACGAGAAACGGATTTTCTTAAAAAGATTCTTAAAATAAGAAATATTTCATTGGCAAGATATTTTTTCTTGAAATAATTTTCAAGAAATCAAATTCTTAACATAAGAAATTATTTCTTACTGATTTTCTTGAACGGAAAGAAAATTTAAAACAGTTTGTTGAAATTTAACTGCAGGAACTATAGAATGGCATTCAATTCTGGTGTTTAAAGACATATATAACATATTTTGTATACAGATTCATTTTAATTGTATAACACTTATTTCTAGAATAATCTGCATATGTATTACAGGAACCCAACCTCGTTCCACAGGGACCGCGGACCAAGTGTGTGTGTGTGTGGGGGGGGGGGAGGCAGGATAGCACGGGCAATAGCTCACGCACGCAGGCTGGATTTTATACGGAAATGGCCCACGCCTCCCCTGTTCCGCGGTCCCTGCATTTTTGCATGCTCAGGAGAGAATTCGCAACTCGGAATTAAATGCGGCTGTGCACAAGATTAATTAAACATAAGAATTCTCCTCTATCGTAGTATCTTTGTTAATTAATTTGTTATGTTAAATCTGGGATGGATTTACTGCGGGGGAAGGGAGGTGTGGGGGTGTAAAGAAAAGTCAAGAAAGGGGTCCCAATTTCCCCATCTCGGGGGGCCCGGAATGCTGGAATTGTGGAACTTGTTAATTATTACGGAATATTCTGAAACACTGAGGTCGAAAAAGTCTAAAAAAAAAAGTTGTTTTTGAGGTGGCCCCCAACCGCTCTCCTAGATCATGCTGGATCCATCCCTGAGGTAAATTTGCGAAAAATATTGTGTTTTATTTTTACTAAAATGCTACATTTGCCCCCTCCGGCAGGAAAGAAGATATCTTTCACCTACATTCCCCCTGATACCATACTATACATTCTAATTTACATTCTAAAGTTTGAATTTTTCTCGTGTTTTATTTAATAATTGCAGAGAATTTTCTTGACTTTTCGATAATTTATTATAGATAAAATTAACAGTCAATAACTGATTGAAAATGCAGACATGCAAGCAGCAATAGTTCGCGCATTGCCTGGGGGCCTGGTGCCTAGTTTACGTATCAGAGCGCGAAGGTTCATGGGATAGCGTCGTTTCAAATTTTTTTGTGCTATAAAGTGCTAACTGAATTCCAGTTCATATTTACAGTATATTTATCAAATTTTTGCTATCCCAAACGACGAAAAAGGCATCGGAAAGGTCTTAAAATGTTATTCAGATCTCACAGGTAAGAATATTTTATTTTGTCTTGTTATTTAATCACTTTAATTGCGAAAGAATGTGTGATTGTTCTTGAGTCATTTGCCTAAAATTCCGTTGAATGTTTGAATTTGGCGCGTTCAATTTGCATAAAAACCTACGAAATGTTGGTTTCTGGCAATGAAAGAAAGAATAAAATATCAATTCGAATCCATTATAGCAAATTCTGTACTAAATTACGCACTAATGCACTATTGTTAAGAATTTAATAGCAATAAATATTGCCTTTGGCTGTTTAACATATAAATTACTGTATATGCACTCAACTTGACCCTTGGCCTTGTATATATTACTGTAAACATTCGAATGCCTTCAAAGATATGTTAGCATTTTAATACATGAATAAGGATTAGAATTGCAGAAGAATTTATAAAGAATTGAATGTAATATTTTCAGTGTTTTGATCTAATAATAACCCATTAAGGCTTACAAATGTGCCCAAATGCATCCCTGCTGTTGCTTTACTTTACCTAGTGGCAGACAATTTCACTATTCAAGGGGCCGGAGAGTCTTTATGCGAGTCTTTATGCGAGCTTTAAGAGCCCTTAATGAACTTCAGTTTATAATGTGTAACATGTTTGTGACACAATGCCTAAAATGTTTGCTTTATGTATTTTCAGATTAATAATGGTGCTGGGCTATTGTCTGGCTCCAAATATTGTTCTCAACAATCAAGGAATTCTGGATTGAGTTGACAAACTGGTGTTGTAAGGTAAGAATTAACAAGAATAAATAGTCTGCTTTTAGTGCTTTATATGAAGAAAATGACAAACTGGCCCAGTTAAGGTAGTCACCCAGGACCTGTTCAATATGAGCCATGCTGGCCCATTAAACCGAGTTAGCTTACACATGAGGCGGGCTAGCCTGGCAACTGCTATACGAAATTCCCAAACAATTTTATATATGGTGGGAAAGCGATATTTGTTTTAAGGCGTAAAAAAATACATGTGGTTCCGGTTCCCGACCGACCCTATTTTTTCTGCCGACCCTATTATTTTTTCAACGCGATTGACCGTGTGACCCTATTTTCACCAGGTGGTTGTACAAGACCATCTCGGCACTTGCAAGTCTGTCCAGACAGACGAATCAGCCTTGATCTTGTAAACAGCCCATGTAAGGACCTTGTTTGTAGGAATTATTACATTTCTTGATACTGCATAAAAAATTTAGTAAATATTAACAACACAATTACATGTGAATCCTAAATCTACCCCCAATGCAGCCCATTGTAAGGCTTGTTGGCACGCTACTCAATTTTGGTATCCGTAACATGTATACCATGCTTCGACTACTCCTATTCACACAGGCCGAGCATGGATAAATTTGATACGGGTACCAATTTTATCTGTGCCATACTAGGCGTAAAAAAATACCTGTGGTTCCGGTTCCCGATCGACCCTATTTTTGTCAAAGTGATTGACTGTGCGACCCTATTTTCTCCGGATGGTTGCGGGCTGCTGCCAAATGACATCTGTTAATTGTGACACTAATTATTGAAAAATCGATGAAAAAATATTCAAAAAAAAATTATTTCCGACCTACCAACCCAAATTTTTTTGCGATATGAAACCGGAACCACAGGTATTTTTTTACGCCCTACTAGATCCAGGGTCCTAATGTATTAACCCAATTAGTGGCAGCACTCTTCCCCTGAGTCCCTGACGAGTTAAATCGTCTAGCATTAGACAGAGTAAAATAATAAAGTAGGCCGCATCTTGGTGCATTGGCACTTAAAGGGTTAATGTAATGTTACTGCACTACAGTGATGCTAACTGTATAATGAATTAAAGTTATTTAAGAGAAGACAGTCAGTTTAGTATCATATTTAGTTCACAAGATATATTCCCCTTTAAACTGGAACTGTCGCATGACAGATCATAAATTAATTGACATAATCTACCTGGCTAACTAATAATTATTAGACAGTAGTGCACAATGCAACTAAATGGTTAATTTGACACATGGGCAGATAGTCTGATTAATCCATTGAGCACGACTGCTTTCCCCTTGACAAGTAAAGTTATCTGGTGTTAGACAGAGTAAAATAATAAAGTATGATGCAACAAAATTTAATGTCTGGTGAAACTAAGTTGCTGATTAATACTGATTATTGGTTATTACTTTTTAAAATAACATGGGTCCAAGGTCTTTGCCAGAAGAAGTTGCGCCAGATGGTGGTTTGCCTAATACCAGATGGTAGCGGGTGGTGCCCAGATACCTATTATGGCACCAGATAGTAGTCTACAGGTTTTTTTTTCAGGACTTTCTCTTGGGTCCATTTTTGCAGAGAAGATTGAGTTTAGCTGAACAGCTGGGGTGGCTGCACCCCCTCCCCCCTACCGCGGGAGGCTGACACCTATGCTCAATAAATGTAGTTGAGATGGAATGTGTTAAAGCAAGGGCACTATGGGACACTATAAACTGGTTAAAGATGGCGAATGCATAGTTTTTATTGTGTTGCAAGATGAATTCCAGCCATTTTTTCTTAATTGTCGGGCTTCCAACTGAAAACTAATTTCCACACGTCACAAAGTTTTATAACTCAAACAATTTCATTTTTACTGTGCTGAAACTTTGGTGAGAAGATTGAGTTTTAAAACTCAATTCTAGATTGAATTTTTGGGCCCGTTTAACGGCCCTACAAATCCCTGAAAAAACCCTGGTCTACTGAGTACAGGTCTGGAGAAAGCCTGTCTCTGGTTAACATATGTATATTTGTCATACCCTGCACCACCTTGTACATACAAATGAAATATGAACTGGCTTTGTTATTGGTTAAATAAAGGCTGTTTATTACATCCACAGTTAGTAGTCCCTTTTACACTGTAATGATAAGTCTCAAGGTCATTGTTCTGGCATATTTTGTATAAAGTAATGATTACATTTTCAATAAGTAAAATTTTCCTTTTACAGATTCTAACATGATGGATCTTTGATGGCAATTGCATGCTGTGTTTGGAACAGTGTTAATTAAATGTACATGAGGAAATCAATGGATTTGGTGAAATGGACAATATGTTAAACAAAATATGACTTCAGGAGAAACCAGGGTTTTTTCAGGGATTTTTTTGGGCCCTTTAAACGGCCCCAAAAACTCAATCTTGAATTGAGTTTTGAAACTCAATCTTCTCACCAAAGTTTCAGTGCAGTAAAAATGAAGTTGTTTGAATTATAAAATGTTGTGACGTGTGGAAATTAGTTTTCAGTTGGAAGCCCGACAAGCCATCATTAACCAGTTTATAGTGTCCCTGTTTTAACACATTCCGCCTCAATTACATTTATTGAGTACAGGTGTCAGCCCCCCGGTAGGCGGGGGGCCGGTGCAGGCACCCCAACTGTTCAGCTAAACTCAATCTTCTCTGCAAAAACGCACCCAAGAGAAAATCCTGGAAAAACCCCTGGGAGAAACTCAATTCACTACAACACATTGCTGTGCTATTAGATCTACTATAATTTCAGTAAATATACAAGTTATTTTCTTAGAATGAGAGTTTTTTTCTTAAACTGAGAATGTTAGGTGTAAATTTAACTTATTTTTTTATCTAGTCAAAAGTATCTAGTTTTAAGAAAGTTAATCTTAAA